GGTGCCGGAGGCGGCTACAGCCACGCAGGAGGGTGTCTGGGGTCCGGACCACACCCATCTTCAAGTTGCCAGGCTGCGCGACGAAACTCTTTCAGTACCACGACGACCACTCAACGCCTGCTCAACGCTCCCGCCCCATAATCCTTAGGCCACTCCTTTACTCCTCATAATCATGGCCGAGGATCGCCGTCCACCACTCCCTTCCTTTGCGTCCCAGAGCTCCGTCACTCTCAGCGACCACAGCGATCCATTCGCAGACCGTCCATCGCGCCAGGTAGCGTTTCAAGAGCCTCCCATGTCTGCTTACGAGAGTTCTACTTCTCTTCCGCATGAGTTTGGAGGCATGGGCGGATATAACGACGACGACGAGGTCGAGAAGCTTCCTCTCACAGCAGCGCAAGGCGGCTTGTATCCGCCTGGGTGGGTTCCTTTAGCGCTGGTCGCGCTGCGCTTATTCCTATGCAACATATATTGATCTGTCATCTTTCTGTCCAGGCCTATCGATCCTAATGCTTATGGTGACCCTTATGATCGTCCTATCTCCGTTGTTTCCACAGCCTCTTCCGGCGTCGATTCAGCATGGAGGCGTCGCCAGACCATCAAACGTGGTGTGACGCGCAAGGTCAAACTTACGAAGGGTAACTTCATTTCCGAGTACCCAGTTCCATCGCCTGTGTACAGTGCCATAGAAGCTAAATGGCGCAATAGCAACACCACGGAATTTTCGTGCGTCGTTTTCATTCTGCGACATTTTTGCTTGTCTTATTATTCCTACCTAGGCATATGAGGTACACCGCAGCAACTTGCGATCCGGACGATTTCTCAGAGGCCAATGGCTATTCGCTACGCACAAAGATGTACAATCGGCAGACCGAGCTTCTCATCGCCGTCACTTCGTACAATGAGGACAAGACTCTTTACGCTCGTACCTTGCATGGTGTTATGCTTAACATTCGCGATATTTGCAAGACGAAGCAATCAAAGTATTGGCGACGAACTGCGGAAGAAGGAATCCCTGGTTGGCAAAAAATCACTGTCGCACTTATCATCGACGGTTTGGAACCCATGGACAAGACCGTTCTGGATATCCTAGCTACCGTTGGAGTCTACCAAGATGGTGTCATGAAGAAGCAAGTTGACGGCAAAGAAACTGTTGCTCACATTTTCGAGGTTTGCCTTCTTGCCTATGTTTATTACACTTCTGACGACCATGCCACCTCAGTACACAACTCAGCTTTCGGTCGATGCTACACCCCAGCTCATTCTTCCCCACGGCGATGACCACTCGAATCTTGTTCCGGTGTCAATCATCTTAGTTATCAAGGCCAAGAATCAAAAGAAAATCAACTCTCACCGCTGGCTGTTCAATGCTATTGGTCGGATGCTCGAGGTATGTTAATTTTGGCAATGTAACGAGAGCTGTTTCTCATGTTCCGTATAGCCTGAGTGCTGCGTTCTCATCGACGCCGGTACGAAGCCCGGACACAAATCCATCTACTACTTGTGGGAGGCTTTCTATAATGACCCCCATCTCGGAGGTTGTTGTGGTGAGATCCATGCCATGTTGGAAGGTGGAAGGAAGCTCCTGAATCCCTTGGTTGCTGCTCAAAACTTTGAGTATAAGATGTCTAACATTTTGGGTGAGTTCGTATCGCCCAACTGGGATCTTCGACTGAACAGTTTCTCCAGACAAGCCTTTGGAGAGTAGCTTCGGTTACGTCTCTGTCTTGCCAGGTGCATTCTCTGCATATCGATTCCGCGCTATCCTTGGGCGGCCGTTAGAGCAATACTTCCATGGTGACCATTCGCTGGCAGACCGTCTAGGACCGAAGGGTATCTATGGGATGAATATCTTCACAAAGAACATGTTCTTGGCTGAAGATCGTATCCTCTGTTTCGAACTGGTCGCAAAGGCGGGCGATAGATGGACTCTGACCTACGTCAAACCTAGCAAAGCCGAAACAGACGTACCCGAAACTGCGGCCGAGCTAATTGGTCAACGTCGTCGATGGCTGAACGGGTCGTTTGCTGCTTCCGTCGTAAGCCCATTTGTCATTAATACTAATACATCGCTGAGGACATTTTATGATTTTAGTATGGTGTCGTCAACTTCTTCAAGTTATATAAATCGGGCCATGGAATCATACGGATGTTCTTCTTCCATATCCAGGCGTTTGTACGTGGATCTGCCTGCTGAATGTGCATTGCATTGAACTTGATTTTCTGGCAGTACAATGTTTTCAGCTTGATCTTCTCATGGTTCGCTCTCGCTAACATCTGGTTGACGTTCTCCATCATTATCGACTTGCTCCCGTCTGATGGACTTGTGTTCTTTGGAACCGCGGACATCGTATGTATGGGCTCCTTCACTTTTATCGCTTGCTCATTGTTGTCAATAGACTCACTGGGTGAACGAAGTGCTGAAGTGGATTTACCTCGCCTTCTTGTGTCTACAAGTAAGTGGACCTAAAGTGACTTCATAATTAGTAGCTTACAAGGAACCAGTTTGTTCTTGCTTTGGGTAATAGGCCAAAAGGAGAACGGATGGCATATACCATTACGTTATGGTCAGTATCATGTTAGAGATTGAAACTCTAGGCTTATGTATTCTTCAGGGTCTACGCTGTTCTTGCGGTGTATTTGTTGGTTTGTTCCTTCGCGTTGACTATCAAGGCGTTCATTGTAAGTGCACGTTATATCTGTGTTTGGCGGCCGCTACATCGTTTCCGTTATTAGGCTGTTCCTTCCATGCTGAAGAACAAGACTGTCATGCAAGTTGTTCTTACGTTCTTTGAACCGCCGGTTGGTGCTTTGATTGCTGCTATGGCTTCGACTTACGGTGAGTGGGGACACTTTGTATCCTATGATGTCTATCTAATCGTTGTTTTAGGTATTTACATTATGGCCTCGTTCCTCTACGTACGTCTTGCGATAAATGTGCTAATGCATCGGGTACTAATGCTACATGTTTAGCGCGACCCGTGGCATATGTTCACCAGCTTCTTCCAATACTTGTGCTTGGCCCCGAGTTTCACGAACATCCTGAACGTTTACGCGTTCTGTAACCTTCATGATGTGCGTATAATCTAGTGTGGTCATTTTACACATCGCTGAAGCTGCCTGTTACAGGTCTCCTGGGGTACCAAGGGTAGTGACAAAGCGGAAGCTCTTCCATCAGTCTCGTCGAAGAAGGCGAAGGATGCGGAAACCGCTGTTGTCGAGGATGTTGCCCGAAGTAAAGAGGATCTTGATGCTCACTTCAAGGACACCGTCACTCGTGCTGTCACCAAATTGGAAGTCAAGGAAGAAGTGGAGAAGCCTACCATGGACGATGAGAACAAGACATTCCGAACGCGCTTGGTCGCCTTCTGGCTGTTGACTAACGCAACTTTGGCCGTGTCTGTTGAGAACTTGAACGGTCTATCAAGTGGCAACGAGGAGACAGACGATGCCGAGCTGCGGGCAAAGCAGAACATCTACTTTGCTGTTATCCTCTACTCCACTTTCGGGCTGGCGGCAGTCCGATTCATTGGGGTACGTTGGTCTGTTTATTGCCCTATACTTCTCGTGACTTACGTCCGTCTCAGTGTCTCTTCTACTTCTTCAAGCGCAATCTGTTCCGTTGCTGCAGGAGAAACTAGACAGCACAGATTTTTTGTTGGGTTATGGACATGGTCGTCGCTCATTATACTATACTGCTACATTTGGAGATCACGGACATTACAGATGCTGTTCCCCACGACTCGAATATCATTACCCGTCTGCCGCATGTCTTCCTATTGCTGTCCGATCGTTATAATGCACGCCTCATTGATGCGTCCTTTGTACATTCGCTTATGCTATTGCGGTAGATCCCAGCTATTACTCGCGAGAGGACATATACCAAAAAAACGCTCTTATGCTGGCATTTTCGACTGTCGTGAGCTTACTGTGTTCAAGTTCGGACGTACATCACAAAGGTAGAATCGGCCAAGGCTCTCGTGGCGTGGCCGCCACCATCGTATTCGTCTACATCTACTGTCAACTTCACGGCAGTCGTCGTCCGGTATACCAACACTTGTGCTACAAACAGCCACGATCAAGGTCCGGCGCCGGCTCGGCGACATACATAGTGCGTAAATATCCGAAAACTACACAAAGCAACGGGGGCGGGCATGGGTGGTGGTACAACCGCACAGAACGGGGTCGGGCGTCAGAATACAGCAACGCGCGGGCGCGGACAGGTCAGAAAGGGTTCTCGTCGTCGTCGTCTGCGGTGGCGGGGGCGGCTGCACGCGGTGTGTCCTCCAACGAGCGGCGCGGCGCGTCCGGTGCGTCCTCGGGGCTCTCCGAGTCCGACGAGGTCGAGTCGGCCTCCCGCTGAGAAAAGAGCGACTGCATGGGCTTCGCGGCCCTGCGCGGCATGGGGCGTGAGCGGGCGGTGCGGCGCGACGCGGGTGGGGGGACTCACTTTGTGAAGTGCTTCTTCTTGGCCGCGCTGAGCTTCTGGCTGACGGGCGTCATCATCTTGTCCGTCGGCGAGACGTACTTGGGGTTGCTGTGCGGGGAGCAGCCGGTAAGCGCGGGTCTCTGCCGCAGCGGGGGACGTACTGGGTCGCGAACTTCTTCGCGAGGAGCGCCTTTGCGCCCATCCCGGGAGCCTGGCTGGGGAGGCCGTTCGTCGCGTTCCCAAGCGGCGCCTGCGGTACGACGACGTGTGCGGCCTGCGACGGGTTGTGCATGGGCTGGACGGAGTTGT